GGGGGTATTTTGGGAGAGCTATTTTTAGGGTGGCTGGCGCCACCCGTCACCCTTTAAATTTAGCCAGGGTGGGAGAGGGGGATGGGGGGGGCGCGGCGGGGGAGCAGCACCCCAAAAGCAGGATGCACCCCTATACGTGGCCACCCCACCCAGGACCAGGAGAGCAGTGGGGTCTCGGGGAGGGGGGGGTGGAACAGCTCGACCCCCAGGGTCAGGAGCCCATGGGTGGCTTTGGGGGATGATGGGGACCCCCCACCCCGGGACCTGGGGGACCCCAATTCCCTGAGGGGACAGGGTGCGGTGACAGGGACCCCACGTGCCCCAGGTTTCGGGGGGACCCCAATTCCATGAGGGGGACGGGGTGTGGTGACCCCATGTGCCCCTGGTCCCTGGGGGACCCCAAGTCCCTTAGGGGACAGGCACGGGGGTGGGCACACCATGCACCCCGGGTTTATGGGGGGACCCCAATTCCCAGATGGGACAGGGCATGGGGATGGGGCCCCCACCCCTCCTTGCTGTTTGGGGGGGACCCCAGTTCCCTCAGGGGCCAGGGCAGGGTGCTGGGGTCTCCACATGCCCCCGGTACATGGCAGGGGGGGGGACGACACCCCCAATCCCTTAGGGACCGGGGCAGGGTGCCAGGGACCCCGCATCCCCCCTGGTACGGGGGACACACACCCCAATCCCTTAGGGCATGGGGACCCCACATCTCCCTGGTGCCCAGGAGGACCCCAATTCCCTGATGGGACAGGGCAGGATCCCGGGGTCCCCGCACCCCCTCAGTACCCGGGGGGGGGACCCCAATTCCCCTTTAGCGACCAGAGCCCAATGCCGGGGACCCCGCACCCTCCTGTAGCTCGGGGAGGGGACGGGACACCCCCCAAAAATCCTTTCGGCCACAGCGCACCGCCCCCCCCAAATACTTTAAGGACCCCCCCCAACTCCTTCAAGGGACCCCAACTCCTTGAGGAGACCCCAACTCCGGGATGGGGATCCCAACTCCTTTAGGGGACCCCCAACTCCGTGGAGGGGGGAATCCCAACTCCGGGGGGGGCACCCCGATCCCTCTAGGGGACCCCAACTTCTTGCGGGACCCCGCCACCCCCTGGGGACCCGAGGGGACGCGGGGGGGGGGCACACACTCACTCCGAGGAGGGCTCCGAGCAGCAGGAGGGCTCCCAGCCCCGCCGGTACCGGCGGCCCCAT